GCCTGCCTGCCTGCCTGCCTGCCTGCCTGCTGCCTGCTTTTGAAGTTCAGTGAGCAGCAAACAGTCACGATTCACAATGGCTGAGCTGAGTGGAAGGGGAACTGGGTGCTAAACAGTAAACCTGGAGGCAAATATTTCTCAATTGAGTCAGTTCTACAGAAAAAAAGAACATGGCTCCCACTGGATATCTTCTAGGGGACTGCTCCAGATGCATCCATCCCAGGGACATAAGCACTGTTGCAATATAGAAAAAGATGCACCGAAGGGAGACTCATGGGCGGCACTGACTGTTCCCTGGAGCAGCTGGCTTGCAGGGCTTATGCAGGCACCTGCGACGTCTGTCCGGAAGGCTGCTTCACCACAGGCAGCTAGTTTTAAAGATGGGGAATCTGAAGGCGGGATCCAGGCTCTTCTCACAAAGTCTTCCATTGTTATTTAAATTCCCCTCTATGTGATTCTTAAAGGCAACCCTGCATCCTGTGGCTCCCCCCATCCACAACAACACAAGGAACTGAATATATTTTGTTTTCAACCGAAAGTGGTTGGTGACCGTAAGAGAAAGTTCTAGTAAAGAAGTGTTAGAAAACTAGACTGGTACCTGGCAGGTCACAGAGGAACAGCTCCTTGACCTCTTTACATCTTAAAGTTCTGGAAAGATTGTGTGCCCTTTAAGAACATTTTGGTTTATGAGGCTTTTTGAGGAGACTTGCAACCTCTTTGTCTCTGGTTAATTTTCTTTCCAAAGCCATTCTGATTTTATGCAGGGTACTCTGTTCAGATGTAAGAACAGCCTCTTTGCATTTCTTTTTGGATGGGTTTCCTTAATGAAGCTGTTGTTAAGGAAACCCTGCAAGAGCCTGGTAGGCACAGGAGTGATTGCATCCCTAGTACTTCTGTCAGTTTGAGCTCAAAGTCAGATGCGCAGGAGAATGGGGCAGGCTGTTGAATGCAGAAGGGGGACTGAGGTAATGCTGAGTCAGGTCAGCACTGGCCAGCAGAGTCAGTGGCTTCCAGTGGCAGCCTTTGGGGAACTCGTGTCTCTTACAAGGAAACCATTGAATGGGGGAGGAAAGTCTGCTAGATTCTTTATCGACAAGTTTCTGGTCTAACAAGATTCTGGTAGGAGAGTGGATATCTGTGGGGACAGTCAGAGCAGTCAGTCTCTCCAGAGAGGTTGGTCGGGCTGCAGAGAGGTCAGGAAGCCTTGGTGGACAAGGCAGTGCCTACTGAGCTCAGTTTCAGATTTCCACTATGACCAGAAAGGGTGATAAAGAAGGAAGTGACTACTGTTAGAGGAAAGCCTCTGTGCCCTGCAGGTGGCTGTGTTTTTAAACACAGGAATGGGGGGGAGAGGGCTTCAGAATTCATCTTTGGGGACATGCAATCCAGTGTGTCCTCACAGGTTTGCGCAATCTTGAATTTCCTCTCTGTTTTAGTAGTTAGGAACCTCGGTGCTGAGCCCACAGATACCTTTAATAATTATATAACTGTTATATAACGGGTGGGCTTGTTTCTGCTCAAACCTTCCCTCGTTGCATTTTAACTATAATCTCATTTTTCTCTTCACCTTGATTTTTATCTTTTTGTTGTTACTGCACTTAATACATTATGTATGTGTTAAAAAAGATTGATTTTAGATTCTTCTTCATAACAAGGCAGGATGTAAACAAATGGCTAAACAGAGGGTGTCGCAGGCAGACACTCACTGCTTTGTAGAGGTTCTAGGGTATTTACCTTAGGAGGTTAAAGCTGAGCTGAATGTTAAAGCCGTGTTTTCAGGAGGAGAGTTTGGTAATACACAGACTCTGGAGAAGGGCCGGGGCCTTATTCATCTCTAGTCATTGTGCAGGCACAGTGATTGTCAGAGACCAGACATTCACTAATCTCTGCCGCATG